ATGATTGGAACGCCTTACCCGAACAAGTGGTATCAGCCCCATCAGTGAATATTTTCAAGGAGAAATTGAAACTTCACTGGAAGGCAATGTGTCAGGATTAACACAGGTTCACCAACCTACTATCCTTATTACTGAAGACTGAATTTGCCACTTTATGGTTAATCTACAAATGTGGAACAGATCATTTACTCAAGAAATGGATATAAACAAATATTATATAACATCGCAAATTTCTATAAATACCGAGACATGGGACCGAAGAAACAACAATATTTACATGTCGCACAGGACTTTCTGAAGTGGACCTAAGCGCTGACTTGGTGTTCCGGAAACTGCAGCACTTAAGACTTGACACTTCTCCTGGCCCGGATATGGTTCATCCTGCCATACTGAGGGAGGCAGCCTCAATCCTGGCAACGCCGCTTAGCGTGATGTTTTCACACTCGCTTAGCCGAGGCAAACTACCGGAAAATTGGAAGTTGGCTCACATCACACCAATTTTCAAAGGTGGTCGACGCAATGAACCTTCAAGTTACCGGCCGGTAGCTCTTCTGTCGTTACCTTCAAAACTCATGGAGTCCCTGATATGCGACGGTTTAAATGACTACCTACTGTCCTTAAATTTCTTCTCACCCCAACAGCATGGTTTCAGGAAGGGTTACTCTTGTATAACCAACCTGCTGACTGCGGTGGACAGATGGACAAGCATCCTCGATCGCAAGGGAAAGGTTGATGTCATTTACCTTGATTTCTCAAAAGCTTTTGATAAGGTTAACCACTTGTGTCTTATCAACAAGCTCAAACGACTAGGTATCAAACCACCTCTAATCGACTGGCTTACTTCATACCTAAAAAATCGACACTTTAAGGTTAGGGTTAATTTCACTTTATCTCAAGCTATGGAATGTCCTAGTGGGGTCCCCCAGGGCTCAGTACTAGGGCCTCTTCTCTTCTTGATTTACATAAATGATCTTCCTCAACAGGTAACGTCAGACTTATTACTTTTTGCCGACGACGTGAAACTTTGGAGAGAGATACGCAACCAAGACGATATACAGGCTCTTCAAGAGGATCTGACTCGACTTCATAGTTGGGCAGACGATAACGGACTTACCTTTAACACTTCTAAGTGTAAAGTAGTCCATCTGCGACATGTCGCAAACTACAGTTACAACTTAGGAAACTCCTCTCTAGTAGTATCCCAAGTCGAAAAAGATTTAGGAGTCCTGGTGCCCCATGACTTAAAGTCTTACGCTAACTGTGACAAAAATGCCTTCCGAGCAAACCTTGCACTGGTAACGTTGAGGCGCATTTTTGGTCAGTTTGACGGAAGAACTTTCCACACAATCTTCAATAGTTTCATCCGTCCCCATTTAGAGTACGGAAACATAGTACTCCCCCCCTCACTCCAAAAGGATAAGGTCACTTTGGAGCGTATCCAACGGCGAGCCACGAAATCAGTTCGAGGACTCAAATCTAAGCCTTACGAAGAACGCCTCCGTTCACTAGACCTTTACCCACTAGAATATAGGCGTCTTAGAGGTGATTTATTAATGGCTTATAGTATTCTTAACACTTCTGGACATCCTCTTAAACACCTACTTAAGCTTAGTTCGAACAATAACCTAAGGGGTAACACCCAGAAACTGGAAACACAACATAGCAAGACGGAATGTAGACACAACTTCTACTCCTTAAGAGTTGTCAAAAGCTGGAATTCGCTGCCGGCCGAGCTAGTCCAAGCGACTTCTCAGGAGTCCTTCAAGAGGCAACTTGACCTATTCTTAAGGACCAAGGACAGCATCGCACTATGATTTACCAATTTCTTTTCCTCTTTTATTGTTAACATACCTAGGTTCCTGCCTGGAGGATTTGGTGATCCCCTGCTACTAGACACGGAAGCCTGTTAAGCGAAAGCTTCTTCTATTCCGTCCACAACCATTTGAACCATTTGAACCATTTATTGGTGGACATTGAACACCGTTCTTCCGCGCGATACAAGTGCTTCAGTTGTTATCGCTTGTTAGGTAAGTTTGATAATGTCCATATACATTTTTACTAAACAATAGTGTTTTTCAAATATTATGATGCGTTTAGAAACCTCGACGGACATTAAGGTCACTCGTAAGACTCGAACTTTAGAATTATTCATCCCATCGAACAGCAGGAGTTTAGGGTAAATATTGGCTACATGCCTTGAATTTGTTGTGGATATCGGCAAAAATACATCGACTTGTCTTTTGCGCCAATCGAGGAAAATAGGGAGGATTCATACCAAAATTCTCTCTTCGAGCAGGGTTACCGAAATAAACACTTAGCTTTTAGCTTCAATCAAAAGCGGCGAGACTATAATTTATGGACGAACGAATCAGATACAAGATAACAAGTCACGAATTAGGGCGCGGAATTCATCTATACATTTGGCTAAATAGAGTTTTGGCATTATAGATGATGTCACTTCTTGGTGAAAACTCTGGATCTAATTTTTAACCCTAACCATCAACTGTAAATGAGAATTCTAACTACTTTATAACCCTCGTTTGGTCTTAATTAGTAGTTGTTCACTCTCGTGGTCACTTTGTCGTCGCTCAAAGGTCGTCCATAGATTATAATCTCACCTCAAAAGCAAATAGTCGACTTTTGTCTTTCAGTATTACCAAAATATCCATTTTCCTAACAGACTCACTTCAAATAATCTACTTTTCCTCCAAATTTTGTTTGTGTCCGTGAAAATGAGGGGTTAACAAAATGTTTGCTAAGATCGTCATCGTTCTTCCATTTATTTTCCATTTATTGTCTCTTTTGGGTCAACTATTCAAAATGCTACAAGGCTTGAATATGAGAAACAGTCATTTCTACTGTCCTTCATTGACTTTGTTTGATCTTTGGTACTAAAGTTTTATTCTTTATTGTTGTTACCTCCTGCTTACGTTACGTTTTTGTGTTGATATAACGTGATAAATCTTGAAGCTGTTCATTAATGCATAGGTTTAATCCCCTATTTATGTACCTGTGAGCATTTCAGTCATTCTGTTACAATTGCTGTCATTTTTTATAACAACCAACAATTACTACCATATATTAACCGAAAGAAATCTTCGTGAAATGTCTCAGATGAACACTAGTCACTTTCAAGTCATCAGCGTGATCTAACGAACCAAATATGCTCGGATCTCTTAGATTACATTCACCAAACTTTTATACATTCTGTTGATTACCATAATGACTTTATGATTTAAATGAGTCTTGTATTGTTACCCATGGTCTGTGCCTTCAGTCAAATACATACACCACTAAGTTTTTTTTTGGTGTGCTTTTGTCTGTCATATATTCTAAAAGAATTGACCTTCCTAATGTTTATCGAAGTCATTCCATTCCAAATCCTTGACAATTTCGAAATTGACCGTAAAATTGCTGTGTATTCACTAGGGTCATGTGATGATTGGAAGTACTTGAGTTATTATACGAACTTAGAATCCCCAAAATAACGTAACTAAGGAAAAATAAAATTAAGCGAACACGAACGAACGTGCTGTATTCGGAAATCAAAATCAGGCGGTTTAAGGAATCATTAGTTCATACAAACACCCAAGATCAACTTCTCTCAAGAACCATATAGAGTCTGGGTTAGTGTTAGTGAACACCATCCGACTGAGCACAAGCTTTCTTGATCAGGACGCCCGTTTATAAATCCTCTGTTTAACGTGTGTTTTGGAATTGAAACTAAGGTTTTCTACTGGACTCGTTAAAAGATTACAGTAATATTGATATTGTAATTAGCCCTAAAAAATAGTGTCTTTACTGTACTGCTCATTAATTTTTTAAGTTACTGCCAACCGTGAAGTTCTGATTGGTGCTACTATTCAAAATAGAACTTCGATTGAAACACTGTCTGGGAAAGTTTTCTGAATTGATCTATTAAAGCAAGGGATATGGCCCCCTCGAACTCATCTAAATTACTGCATTTCTCACACTGCAGTTGCAATCATTTGTGGTAAAATTTCTTTCCTAACCTGGTTCTAATGCAGGATCTTCTTAATATTCTTTAGTAAACCCAAAATATCGAGCATGAAAGTTATAATCTCAATTTGTTACTTGGGTTATTAGGAATTATGTGAACAGTCTTTATTCAGCGAGACATTGTCTGTCATATACCACAAACTAACCAACCGTAAGATCAGCAACTGCGAACGTTCCTGTGAGTCAATGAAGTGTTTTTCAAAGCAGACTAGGCAAATAACGCGGCGCTTATTGCCCATGTTCAAGTAGGCACTTTAATTAGCAAGTGCCAATTTTCTTTTGTTTATTAACATATCTAGTTACAGTCGCAAATCTACAGTGTGTGCGTGGTTTGCACTAATAGACATAATAACCCCCAGAGCTCTACTAGATTACATTTTAAAGCATGTTTCACCATTTCCACGTGAAAACGAAGTGTTAAACGTAACTAACTAGGTCTTAAGTTCAATAATTATAGTCATTTGTAGCAAATGCAAGTCAATTCCTCGAAAAACCTATGTATCAACCATTCAGTAGCTCAATGATACTCCTCAAGACCATGTTAGATGGTATGGTTTTATCCAGCTACTTATGGCCCTAATATTTGACACATAACATGTGTGGCCGATTGAGAGATATCTTACTTTAGCATTTCAAACAAGTATCTATGTTTTTGGAATAAATATTATCCTTATACATAAAAATACTCCATAAAAGAACAATTTAAATCATATTATATCTGTGCGTACGGTTACCTATGTATGGCTAACCTGACTTGACAATTGTAAAATACTAGTGATATATTGTTATACTGAGTATTTCGATAGTTTTATTTTGTTCACTTAGTGACTAATTGTACTTCTGTCGCTTTCTCACGATCATGTTACGGTTTATGTATTTATCATTATCGTAAATATTGTTTGTCTCAATAACTATGGATATTTGGTGAACCTTTATTTCAGCCGTAATTTAAAACCGATATACGTTTTGATTGATAGTGAATGAATCTCCAAAAAATTATATTTGACGACCTCGAAAATTTACACTCAAAATTAGACACTCTCATCAGATATTCCAAGAATGGTTTCCGTTTGGCAAATGTACTTACATTTCGTACTGAGGTGAGTTTGGTATTCGTGACTATAACGACACTAATTTGGGCTACTTTGTTAACCATTTCCGAATTATTTTCAAAAAATACTGATAAATGTTAATGGAAACCAGTTTTCAACCTTTGAAATCCACTAAATAGTAATGTAGAACCGGAAAATCTACCAAATATACTCATTAGTTAAGAATAGACTATACTACCGAAATGCTCAGACTGGTATATAAATTTCTACGTTCCAGCTGGTAGTAAGCTTCTTGTGTTGCAAAAATATAATGCCGAAATTATTCTGTGCCCTAGGTTTTTGTAAGATGAGAGAGACTGTTAAGTGAGAATCGAAGAAAAGGGAACGAACTCATTTTAGGTTATTAATCATAAGATAATAACTTTCAAAGATACCGACGTAATTCATTGAAGCGACTGATTTTTGACATTAACAACTCAGTGCAATGTTAAAGACTCGAGTAATATTAAATTCAAGGCTTACTGCCAATGGAGAGTTTCTTCGTGTTGGCTTTTACGGCTTGACATCTAACTCAGCTTTTTCTCAAATCCATATATCTATTATGTATTCTCGAAACGTGACGAGAATTTGCTTATAGTGTCTAACAAAATAACGTACGGTTCAGCTGTCTTGTGAGTGATTGGGACCTAAAATACCTCAAAACTCTAGCCAACTCTGTGGCAAATCCGAACCATCCAACGTCGCTGAAAGCATCCATTCAAATAAATAAACTCTACCCGTCATATGTTACTTACTGTGTATTTTTATCTTCTTAGAAAACTCCTTGTTGCTGCGATGATTGCTTTTTAATTAACCGAATAAAATTGTCATGTAATTTAATGACAAAAGGTTTTGGTTTAAGCATTCTAAATTAAAAATCCACTGGTCACATTTACTATATATTTACTTCGATTATTTAATCTTAAAAAATTAATTGAATACGTTTCCAAGATGTTGAGTACCGAATATTTACGAAGACGTTTATTATGAACACTTGACTTTCAACTTTCAGGCAGGAAGTTTGAGTCTTCTTCCACTTATCCCAGTTTAGATGTTCATGTTATAAGCATCACAAGGTTACAACAGTAAAACTATGTATTAGACATCAGGTGCATAAATATGAGCTTGATAAATGAGTTAAAGTAAATAAACAAATGTACCACTGACATGCTTTCTCCAGAATTATATATATGGCCCTCTTTCACGTTTGAAAACTTTCAGTTGAAGTTATTTCAGGACTACTGCCAAAGAATCCTGGGACAGATTGAACTATGGATAATAAACTTTTTGTACACCAGTAGTCCGTATAAAGAAATTAGTTTTTGGATTGAAGATACCAGTGATTTTGGAAACTCTTTTGAGGTATGTGATGTGGAGTGGCTTTTATGTAGTAAGTAGTTTGTTATAACTGGCAAACAGTTGGATGATTTTTTCAGGTATTTCACTTTTTTATATAAGTCACAATTTAAACCATATTTATTATCAGTTCTATGGATAGCTTTTTAGTAGGTGAGACCTCTGATCTATCGTCTACGTTTTTGATGCGCACTGAGGATTTATCTAAACAATATACGAATCGCGGTGATGGTTACGCTAGGTTTGAATCTGGATGATTTATTAGAAACAGTATATTTCGTTTAGTTAGCTATTATTTGAGTGAGACTTCTTAGACATTCCGTATTTAACAGTTTGTCAATTGCCGTATAATTACCAATGAAACTTGCTAATAAAAACTAAATTTTGCACTAATCCACGCTCAGGAATCCTTGCATATACGTCCATATGACTAGTTATCCCATTTGTTTATATATCAAATGACAAATTCATTTATTTTCCCGTGAAATAATTAAACTATTAGTTATGCTCAGTTGAACTGTTGACAATTTAATCTTGCTGTTATTCCGCGGCCTTAGATAAAGTATTCGTTTATATACTATCAAAACATATGGATAGTATAGACGATTTGTTAGAGTTGTGTACCCTGACCTGAATGGTTTCATTGTGAAACTGTCATTGCTCTTCTAGACAGTAATAATAATCCATTCAAATCAAGCTTGACAGGAACAAGTTGTTATTTATGTGTCGATAAATCCAAATAACTCACTTCTATCTGGAGTTTGAGCTAATGTTCCTGTGCACAAAGACAATCGAAGCTTCGAGATTAGATCACCAAGTTCAGAGTATGCAACTCCACCCATATAACAGATGGAGCCTGTGTTTATAGTACCTCACCTACATTTTAATCTCTATACTTTGATTTTATTAAGTCCTTCAATTAACTTGTGTAACCGATAGTACTATTCGGTTATTAATAGTTTATCTTTGTATTATAACTATCATGTTTTTATCTGCATCTATACTTGAACACGGGTTACAGCCTACGGACATATTCCTCTTACTAGCAAAAAAGCCAGTTACTTAAATTGTTCAGTAATTCATCCGCTTGCTCATATGTATGTGCTTTTTAAATCCCGTTCATTCATCCACATTCATATATCCGTTCGTATTCGCCTCGTGTCCCTATGGCTTTGGGGTCTGAGCTGTACAGTAATAAACTGTAGTCTTTGCTTCACATTATCTTCTGAAATGTATACACCATTGGAAAGTTATTTTATAATGGTTATCAGGACGAATAATATATGAATGAGGAATTATCATTCAGAAATTTCATTACGTGGTTGCTGATTATGGAGTTCGATTCTCAGTTATTCTGTGCCTCAGTAATTATGAACACAGTCGCTAACTGTGGAATCCAAGATATATCTTTCATCCTATTTGAGATTTGTCAATTGAGTGTACTCGCATCTCAGTTTCGCTTTTCACACTGATATTGTAACCCGGAACTTACTGCCTATTGTCGGTATTCTGGGCTAAATTTGATCTGTCACTATCGATACATGGGTCTATAGACTTGAGTATTAGTCTTAATATCACCGCTTATTCATCCAAAACGGAAATCTAAAACAGAACGCAGAAGGCGTCCTGAATCCCACTGCTACCCACTGTTTATGACACAAACCTTTACAACTGGTGATAAATATAATATGTTTTGGAAATGTTGACGGCAATAGTTGCTCTATGGTCTAATGAATAACGCTCTAGCATTTGGTTAGAGTCTCAACGTGAACATTAGCATTGGGATACTGGAACGTTCTCATGTGACGAATTCCAGATACAGTAGAGTACATTCTAGAAATTGCGGCTAGTCAAAGTATAATAAATTAATAAACACAGACATTATCGAAGGATTCGTTCAAGCAGCCCATAGTGTCAACAAAGATTGAATAATCTTAAAGAGAGCAAAAACGAAGATTGGTGCAGAATACATTTAGTTCTGAATATCAACGAAATAAAGATAAATCTTACCTATTAGTATTACTTATGATACAAACTTGGTGTATAGCTTTAGATTGTTAACAGACAAGCTAGTATATTTATCAGTGTTTCACTCAAAGGAATAAATTAAGTTTTTTTCCTTACACATATTTATTTTGTATTATACTGATCCATTAATTTATACGACCATTTTTTATATGTTTTCACTTGTCGTTACACTTTTCCGTTTAAAAATGTCTGCAGAGTTTCATAAAGTCACTCGCTATGTTGCAGAATATTATTGAATCATCATACAAACTCATTTTTACTACAAACATAAGTGATGTGATATCATTTGATAAAGCGCAGCAGGAACAAATGTATTCTTTCGAAAATATTCAAGAAAGAATCAATTCTCTACATTTAGATTATTTTTATGAAGTAAGTGAAACTATTGCAACATATTGTTGTCCGCTTATTATTATTACCACAACTTTCATTATCACTGTTATTTAGTTTCGACACAAAGATTTCCTATTGGCTATCTACTGAATAAATGTGATATCCACTGTACATTACTAGTTTACTTCGCCAAGTTAGTTGTCGTTTCATCTAATATCAGACATTTATAGGATATAAATATGATCATGTTGTTCTAAATGTGATATTTGTTTTGGGTTAAACCAAGACATGGCATAAGTCCACTAAGTAGTTGTGGATAGTCTATGTGGGTAGAGGGAGGTATGCGAACATCTCTGCTGAAACCCGGGGCGACAGTCGTTATATATGGTTGAGAATGTTATACGACATAAAATTAAAAGCGAATCGTCTATCGCGGTGTGTTTATTTTTTAAAATAAAATAAACAGATAAGCATACTTGGTTTAGTTTAAAGCAAGATCGTAGATGGATGTTGAGTTGAAAGTTTTATGGTTTTCTCTCACTGCATACGCTAAGATTGCCATTTATATATCCATCTACTGTTTATAGAAGTGTGGACTTACTGTCTTAGGATCCGAATAACAACTACTTTCTTTCAGTCTGTTGGCTATAATCAATGTAGAGCCTGGCAAAAGTGCTTGTTCTCCTAAGTCGCTATATCACCACAAGATAAATATCAAAGAAGTCTAAGAAATTTTAAAAGTAGTGATAGTGAGAAATACCAAACATTAAGAATATGGTTTGACAAGATAAAATGAAAAGGTATGTATGAAGAAATACTGAAACTCATGATCTAAAGTGAGATAAAGAGTGAATCTACCTCTCCCAGTGTGAATAATTCTGAGCCACTCCACCCAAAGGTTCCAACCACTGATCGTGGTTATCGTAAGGACTCTAACCAGATATCCTTTATTTACTAGCGTAACTCGGACCTCCAGTCCAGAAGTTCCATGGACTAATACCACGTTTTGTTTTAGCTCCTTCTTAACTTCCTTACAACTTACTCCTACACCATCAAACGTTTCCCCTAGAGGTAGTAGTCATAGATACACGTAACGCATATCCAAATCTCAGCTGATAAAGACTCGTAACTTCATCAAACGACCTATACCTAATACTTTGTATCGACATCGTTCACTCGGTCGTTCTATGATGCTCAAATTGTTCTTTAATGGAACTTATGATCAAAAGTCTACAGCCTACGTATGTCCTCAAATTTCATAGACCGTGTTTTACAGTCATAGAGTAACATAGAGCGGACTTCTGCTCCGTTGGCTTCTCTCCGGTTGCCAGACGGCTATCCATCATACGTCACAACCGATGGGAATTGGTGGAGACTTACGGTTGTATCCCTCGGAAATACGCCAAACTAGTGTAGGTGAATTTGTTTTGTTTATGTTTATTTACGTCCTAAATACGATATGACGGTAAATGCTTGATTGCCCGATTTTATTTACTTTTTACTTTCAGTTTTTGCTACTGTTATTCTTAGTCTGTTCACTACTTTGCTTTTCTTTTTATCGATTTCCCGTCGATTTACTAATATGAAGTGTAAACACAGAAATCGATATGGACTTGTACCAGATCCGACGATGTTTTCCTGACATAGCTGTTCAAATTATCATGCCAAAGGGCATGCAAAAGAAAGAGGTAGATCAGATTTGCAAGACAGCTGTATAAATAAAACATCGCCGATATGAAAAGGAGATAGCTTCAAACCACTCAACTATAGTTATATCTCTTGACACTGAGTCGACATTTAGCTCTGCTGACTGATAGGTTCTATAACAATGTTTGTCGTTAAAAGTCGTACCAATGAAGTACAACCTTGTAAAGGCTCTCTACTTAGACACTATCAATCTAGTTAGAGCTTATGGCAAACTGTTAACCTCAAGTGTTGTCTATCAAAGTGACCCACCTTCCCCAGTTTTATTTAGTCTCGTTATCAACGTCTTCCTAAAATTAACATTTTCCTTAATTGCCTTTTCAAAGGATTGATCACTAGGAGTTTCGCTCGCTGACTTAACATACGCTAGTGACTCAGTCTTATTTGATGGATGTGCCAACAAAATCCAGTCTTTTAATCGCCTTGATCATCAGTGCTGGCATGTTTGGGATTAACTTCCTTCCCTCTAAACCTATAAGACACAAAAATACATTTGTCTGTTAACACATACGTAAGTACTCCTAAAACCGAAGGCGAAACTTTTAACATGAAGAATAATTCCTCATTTTCGTAGAACGCTCTGTGAAGTTCTAGAATGACAGTGAGATTTTAATAGTTAACTTCTCAGGGTTTATTAGCAAATCAGTAGCTTTAGTTCCGTTCTTTCAGAATAGATCAAGGATTTCATCATTTCAGGATAGATATTATTATTAATAAGAGCCTTTTCCGTGGTAATTAGGTCTAATCCTGTTTAGCCTTTGCCTTGTTACTACACGATGTTTCAAGTGCATGAGGTAGATTTTGAAAAAAATACGAGCTATCTCCTATGTCAAGTGTATATATTCACTTGATGACAATTTTCCACAGTAAACCTATTAAGTGCAATGTATCATAACTGTTTATATTTATTTATGAACTTGTTTACTCTCGCGGATCATGTTATAATGGCTCTAATTTTTTTCTACTTAAATTCGCATGCTTTCTAACTTGTATCTTTCTGGTATGCTGGGATTTTCTGATGAATTTTTCTAAATTGAACATAAGTTATTCAAAGTTAGTATACGTCAATTATTTAAATACATAGAATACTTTGTTCTTGAACCCCTTATTTTTTTCTGGAAACATATGTTCCCAGTCTAGTGTAGATGTTATTAATGCGTCTCAACCCTGAATCTTATACTGATTGGGTATGAATTAGGATTCCATATTTTGAAAGACGTGAGTGGGTTGCAGCTCACTAAGTTAACATTTAACTGATTAATTAGGAGGGAAATACAATAGGGAAATGTATAACATGTTTCTTTCAAAGTTGATAGTATCTGGAAGTTTTGTCTTGTATATTTCTATTTCAGAAGTCTAAAACCGATGTGATTAGTTCAAATAGAAGGCGATTTCATCTTCAGTATACAAACCTGATAGAAGCATTGGATTTGCACGATAACTACAGTAGTTCTCCTAACTTGTTTTATGGAAATAAGAACTCAACAAAAAACTCCGAAATAGATTTACAGTACGATGGCTATATTTCTAAGTAAGTTAGGACATATGGAAGAACAACAGTGTGTTTACATTCTTTTTCTCAAATAAAACTATTGATCAACTTGACTATTTGAATTAAAACTTCTGCATAGTTCATTTTAGTTGATCTCCCAAATATATGGGCTAGTTGTTCACCAAAGACTATTCTTCCGTAATCACTGAATGTCATACTTTGTAATATAGTTATAAGCTGTAAGTATCAGTTTGATCGAATAATCAGTGTGGAAATAAATGTATTTCACCGATCCTTACATGTTTATTGCATTAATACATCACATAATGGTTTCGAAAGTCAGGGTGTTAGAGGTGATTGGTAAAAAGGCCAAGACCTAAGAGGCTCCTCAACACACACACACAAACAACATTACCCTAATTAGTGTACCAATCTCGTCCATGTTCTGCAAATTCCCCCCTCTACCTAACGAAACCCACTGCGAATTTTCCTTTTGTATTTAGTTTTCTAGCTAGAGGTTTAACATGGAAAATATCAGTTACACTTTACGCCCTCTAAACTAATTATTTACTCCTATATGTCAGCGTGTCCACTCCAAAAAGTTGATTCAAGCCAATTGTACTTTTAATTCCCATTGAAAAATACTTTGTTACTAAAACTGTATTTCACACTGTTCAAGTAATACAACTACGTATATAATCGCTTTTCAGATTTTTTCTTGTGTAGGAGTAAAGCAGAAACCCAGTACAACTCATCGAACACGATTCTTTTCTAATTTAATTAGGTTTTCCTTAGTTACACACATTGTCTAGTCATTTCTAGACTATTCTTGCGAAAATAGATTATTCAGACTAAAACCTGCTTATATACTTAAATGTTTCACATATCTGTTTACTTAGTTAGATCTATGTACCATTTTTAAATTCTTACATCGCTTAACATTGAACCAAGGACATTCATATCATACAGATGATATACCGTCTACAAACTATTGTCTTTAAATTCACCGGTAGATCATAGAAGCAAATATGAATTTGTATTGTTCCATGTTTCCTGATTTCCGATGATTAATAAAAAAAATAATTTGAATCGTTACTTTAATTGCTCGATCTTCATAGCATTGTAAAACCTTGTTTAAATTATTCTTTATTATTTAACAGAATGAAGCGTACATTGTATATTGTTTGGAATCTAATCACTGATTTTTACTGGTTTTTATTGGGTTCGAAATTGATCAGTCTTAATTCTGATTTAAAGAATAAAAATGAAATATACAATAAAAAAGATGTAAGTGAATTTTAGAAATTTTCATAAATATGACGATTTTGTTTTCATATTAGACATTTGGTTATCATACCATATTTTCAAGCAATTTCATTACTGTAATCTCATATACCAAGTTATTAGTTTCAAATAGGCTTGTAATCAGGTTAATCCTTAGTTCATGTTTCTTTCTGTTATGAATAACTAATATCTAGTGGATAAATCAAGATAAATTGAATGAAGTTTTAACAATTAAAATGACAGGTATTGGATTTAATTGTTATTGATAATATAGACACAAACTAGGGTCATAATAAACAAATGATACATTTGTTAAATCTCAATGGTCAGAAAATTAAATTTTTAGTGTTTCCCAACCTACTATAAGTTACTTCTTCAGAGAGGAGTTGTCAAATCAATTCAAGTTTAAATAGTATAGAGCAACAAAATAAACTATTCGATACAGCCCAAATGATTCGTATTATACTGGTGTCATATTATCCAGGTTAAAGGTGAGACAATATGTGAGTATATATTCAGGTATATCTAAGTAGGTGTGAATAGTCGGTATTTACTCTCTGAAGAAGTCGCTAAACATCAGAAATTTAATTTTCTATCCACTGAATCATTACAAGTAAATTAAAATGACCCATTATTATGTCATTGAATAAAGAGAATTCAACGAAGAAAATTTCATTTTCGACGAAATCATTTACTTAAATTGTGCATTCGTATTTATAGTTCAATGGTAAATGTATGTCTACAGAAGGATAGAAAAGATTGCATTATAAAGTGGTCCGAGACTTCAAATATCAATTGAGGTTGGAGAATAATGGAAGGATGAAAATAATTTACGGGTTAGAATCATGAAAGATAAAAATGTCCGCTTGATAAATATGAAGAAAAGTGGAAACAACATCAAGGTCATAACAATAGCTGAATAATAATTATGGAAAAAATTGTTAAAGGATAATAATAACAGATTACGGTTTAAAATTACAAAACAATAATTTAAAATAAGCAAGACTAATACATCATACAGAATGGAATCGGGTCAAAGAAGAATTAGAGGTTGGACGTATCGTTTTTACATGCAGAGTTTGGACTTGAACTGGTTGAATGCCAACTCCTCAGCAATGAATAACTTTTTGATTTGACCTTCCTTCGACCCAGGTTCATTGATTGCATAGATTATTTTGAAGGTAAATTCCTTTGAAGCGAAGTGTTCAGAGTCGATTAAGTGCTCCTGTATTTAACTGGTGATTGTTTTGTGTTCTTCTTTTAAAAGTTACGTTGATTAATGTTATGAAATGCGTTTGGAAAGTGATTGTTTTGTGAGGCCAATATAACCTGCTCCACTGAAGCAAGTAAATTTATAAATGCATATCGATATGCACTTTATGGCACAATCTTTTCTACAGACATATATTTATCATATAGATACAAATGTACAGCTTAAGTAGATGATTCCATCGAAAATAGAATTTTCTTCTCGAATATTATTAAATTATGAAGTGATTTCGTAAAGCATAGATAAACATAAATTTTTAAGGGAATATGTTATACATTTTAAAAAATATTATTAAAACACGTACATCCAGTTAACAAGTCCCAAATAGGACGAAACGCGTATCCTGAATTTCAGTACTAGCCACTATCCATCTTTGCTTATGATGCTTGTGAATTAAGGCAATATCGAGTCAATACACGCAGTATGCATATATGCCAATAACAGACTGATCAATTGCAATCCTAAACATCAATGGGAAGTTTCGATAATGTAATAATAATAAGACGAAGATTATCAGAACTATATAATGATGATATATTAGCGCAATACATTTCGAACAGTCTGATCACACAATATACTTGTTAAGAACATTTGTATATAGAAATAAAACGTCAACTAGACTGGTGCTGTATAAAAGTGTAAAATGGTGTATACTAAAGTTTATTGAAGCCTTGGTCATACGAAAATTCAAACCCTCTTTGTGTATTCACAAACAGTTTGTTCTCACCTTAAACCTACCCTGCGAATATTGACTTATTAATCATAGTGATTAGGTTTCAAATTGTGTTCACATTTTTATTATTATTACTCTTATTATTATACTCGTCTCCTCTTACCCCATTTCCAGTCTAGTTGACCTTTTATTTTTATATATATGAATGTTCTTAACAAGTATATAGTGTGTAATCAGATTGTTCGAAATGTATTGCGCTAATATATCATCATCACATAGTTCTGATAATCTTCGTCTTCTTCTTATTACATTATTGAAATTTATCAAAGGGACTAATTGCTTTAAATCAATGGGAAGATTCAAACAACCAATACAAAAGTGAATTGAATATTAAAAACTTATTATTTCTGTTATACAAAAAAAAATACAATTCATTGATTGATTCAAGTGTAAATTTCTTTAATTGTTCATTTAGTGATAACATTCTAATCAAATCCAACTTTTGTATCCGTCTACTTATGAACTAAAACGCATATTTATTGAATACCATTCATAATGAAATCATATTCATTTATGATTAAAAAAAACAACTAGAATATCCAGTTTTATATATTAAAATACTGATCAAAATCTTTTAATTATCAATGTCAATTAATGTAATCACTAAAGTAAATCAATATTATAGGTTTAGTTCAATTGATTTCTTTGTTCCATTTTTTATCATGACAATATTGAATGTGAAATTACTCTAAGCAGTATTTATTATAATGCTCGGTTTTTACTTCATCTACACGTATGGGATGTTAGATGAATATCTACACTAGATTCCCTCTTAGTGTCTATTCTACAGGATTTCAATACAACTCAGATGATCAAGAATATGTGATTAGCCTGACTAGAACTTAAATATATATTTCCACACCAAAAACCTGACACAATCCAACAACAATCAACTATCAATAATAATAATAAGGATAGGGGAATATATAACTCATCTAACAGCTGTCAGACTATCTGCATGCCCACACATCAGTAGTACTTATAAGTTATATAAATAAAAACTTTAGGAAATTTAAGCAAATACAAAATGCTGTTTTATTAGCAACAATTTGATTTTGATATACATACTTTGTACTTTGATCTTTTCTTTTATCGAAAATTACTATTGATAGGTTTGATTTGATAATTTCAAATAAATTAAGTATTGGGTAGATTGTTATCAATAAAATAAAAGTAATATATTTGTAAATATCCTAATGAGTAGAAAAATTAGAAATTTCTGAGGTTTCATGATTAAGTGTAAGCCGCTTCTTCAGAGAATAAATAATCCAACTTAGATTAATTTTGATTTGGTTATTTATTCTCTGAAGAAGTGGTTTACACTGAGTCGTGAAACATCAGAAATTTATAATTTTTCTACTCATTGGGATATTACAAATGTCTTATTTATTTTATTGGTTTGAATTGTTTAACAATGTCATTTCTGAGTTTATTATCAATAAAGTATAAATTTCTCTTTGGTTTTCGATAAGCTTAACTATTCATTTCGAAATATAAATTTAATATTTCTCACCAAATAACCACTTACTTACACCTGTTACTCCTCGTGGAGGAGCATAAACCACCCACCAGCACTCTCCATCCAATCCTGTCCTGGGAAATCCTTTCTAGCTCTCTCCATTTGTTATTTATCCTTTTCATATCTGCATCTTTTTCCCAACGAAATGTGTTGTTTGGCCTTCCACTTTTTCGCGTCCCTTCAGGATTCCAAGTTAGGGCTTGCCTCGTGATGCAGTTTGACGATTTGCGTAATGTATGTCCTATCCATTTCCATCGTCTTTTCCCCATTCCCATTCAGATAGAAGTTGGTTTGTCCTCTCTCACAGAATAGTCTTGTTGATGGTATCCAGCCAATGGATGTTGAGTATCTTGCGTAGACAACCGTTTATAAATACTTGTACCTACTTGATGATAGTTGTAGTAGTTCTCCACGTTTCAGCTCTGTACAGTAGAACTGTCTTGACGTTCCTACTGAAGATTGTGACTTTTATATTGGTTGACAGTTGTTTTGAGTTCCATATGTCCTTCAATTGTATGAATGTGGCCCTTGCTTTGTCAGTCCTCGCCTTCACATCTGCATCTGATCCTCCTTGTTCATCGATGATGCTTCCTAGGTATGTAAAGGATTCCACATCTTCCAGAGTTTCTCAATCAAGTGTGATTGGGTTTGTGCTCTTTGTGTTGCCTTTGAGGATCTTGCTTTTTCCTTTGTGTATGTTTAGGCCTACTGATGCAGAGACTGCTGATACACTAGTCGTCCTCATATGCATTTGTCCGTGTCTACGCGATAGAAGGGCTAAGTCATCTACGAAGTCCAAGTTATCTAATCGGTATATTTAACAATGAATCTTCTTAGTTATTACAAATTAACATTCAATACATTTCAATATTTTCTCAAATATTCATTTTATTCTTATGGGAAAATGTTTAATATTTAATATTGTCGATTCATAATTTCATCAGCCTTATTTAGTTAGTACTAAAACAAGTATACAATTCTGTTGATTTGTGTACACTGAAAGTAATTATGATTCCTATTTGTTACTCCAACTTTGGATTGACATTTTTTTAAGAAAAGAAGATTAATTAATGATTAAAACAATAGAAAAAATATCATTACTACTATTTTAGAGTTGATCTTTCTAGGTAATATAAGATGGAATAAAAAGGTGTTATCATAATCTACTCGTTACAGTGTTCAACCAATTAAGAGTACATTCATTTAAATGATGTTTTGAATGAAAAATAGTGTATATAAACAACTATGTAGTTGGAAAGGTCATATATATATCTCTTAAGTCTTGTGTATATGTGAAATTCATTAAATCCAAATAAACTATGCTAAACAAATGAATTTGTAGTCAAATTAAAAAGTATATAGTGATCACAAAAATTCTGTTTTAGACTATGTCTATGTCATTTACTGATCATGAATTAGTTAAGTCGATTACATATCTTGGAAATCATCTCTTTTTATTGTAGAGAAAATGAGTTGGTGGCCAGTAACATCTCATTATGACAATACTGAGAATCATATTTAACTTTTGTCATTTTAAGCCATATGTCGCGTTTAAGAAATATATCTTTTCATTAATTCTCATCCTACACAACTTGGCTTAACTTATTTGCTCAGTAAACATTTCAAGAATCTATAGCTAGGTATATGTTATTCAATTCCTGATTTGTCAATATAGGATTGAGAAGATTGTTGAGTTTCATTGAAATAATGAACCGACCAATTTTAGACCACTATTCAAAACATGGAGGCATTGGACAACCGTTTCGTCCCAATGTTGAATTCCTCAGAAGTGCCTATACACGAGCTCACACGCAGGAATTAAATCTAACATTGTTAATGTCTAAATTCAGTCAATCCATGGTTTTGCGTGACCATCTTCAATCGTCTTCGGTAGGTAACTGCCTCACACCCGACACGGTTAAACTTCACTGGTCACACCTTCTTAATAGGATTCCGGTGATTTCCTCTAGAAGCACATGATACTTTTCAGTATAGGCTTGTGGAGATTGTTGAGTTTTATTGAAATCGTCTCGATTCAACTTACTCATATTCAGATTATCCACCGAAATATATTTTAATGAATTAATTAATAAAGTTTTTATTACCAGTTAATTAAATGTTCAATAAGATTCAGCAGTCGCTTGTGGACGTACTGTTCTTAATCTACAACTAGCTGAAATCATCCAGTTTTACACTCCTCGTTCCTTAAACAAGTCAGCTGAATTGTAATTATTGGAGGTCAATACCTGATTTTCTCGATCGATTAGTCGTTTCTAATTAAACATCGTCAGATTATAACATCAAATAAAAAAGAAAGGGTATTTAGTCTCTCGATCATTTCCAATCACTTCATACTCGGGATCTACAGTAGATTGGAGTATAAATGATTGATAACTGAGTAATAATCAGTGTCCTTTTTTATAGTTTTTTTAATGCTAATCGGATTCTGCATATCACGTTACAATGTGGCCATTAGTTTAAATGACTCGAAATCCGGTGCATTATATTTTAGTGTTAGGTGGCTGGAGGTAACCGGAAGGAATTCCTTCTTAAACTATGTTTTATAGTGGTTGAAACTTGTCTTCATGGCATACCTACAAATAAATAATAAGATCTGCTTTAAAATTACAACTTTTGTAAAGACGTTTTTGTGTAACTTTAATATATGGACGAATCAATCAGATTTAGGAATACAATTCTTGGATTTGGCACGAAATACATTCATCCATTTGACTAAATAATATTTTAGCATTTTAGCTCATGCCAGTTCGTGATGAAAATCATAAACATAACTCCTAACCCTAACCATCAACTATAAGTCATAATTCTAATTCCTCGCACTGATTCGTAACCCTCATTCACCCCGTGTAAGTGGGTGGAAATTCCCAAGGTCGCTTTAGCGTCGCTCAAAGGTCGTCCATAAACTATAGTCCTACCGACCTTTTCCTTCAAAACTATTCACTGTTTCATTATTCGTCTTGATGTGATTCAGATACACCCATATGATAAGACCCAAATAGAACAAAACATCTGTCCTCGATTCCACGGCTAGCGACCATCCAACTGTGTTTGTAATACTTGTGACTTGTGGTAATTCGCACAAGATTCATATATACCAAAAGTGACTGATCAATTACAGTCCTAAACACTAGTGAAAAATTCATATAACTGGTACAAATGAGTGATTCATTTTGGTAGTTTTTTTTGTAAATTTCATCTAATTTACTTTTTTAATTCAAAATTTAGTATCAACTTCATAGATGGACTGGTGCTATTCACCTTAGTTAATGTTAATATTTTCATTAGTATATAACTAAATTAAAACAACAAACCATTCTTCTTTGTTCGAAATCATACAAAGAATCAAAGTATGCTCGAAACATATTCGCGTAGACCTAGACCCTGTTCTAAGACGGTATTATTAGACAATGATACCTATATTTGTTAATCCGTTTCATTCAGTTAGTCATTACTTTACCTATATTTTGGATAATGTTAGATCATCTTAATAATCGTTTTTTTCTCTTCTCCTTCTTTCTTAACTCACACAATTTTAAATCATTGTTCATTTTATTTGTTTATTTCATTTAGATGATAGTTATTCAAGCTAATCATAAACAAAGAGTATTCAACAATTTATTAGATCATCTAACATGTTATCAATGTGTTTTATTACTCAAAGATATTCATCTAAAATATATACCTTGTAATTTAATTACATCTTATAATGTTAATTATGTGCATCACAATTTAAATTTACTGAGAAATGATGAGAATAATTATATAGGTAAGTATAAATAATAACTTATACATTTATGTAATTACTTCTGTTGTGCACGATTGTTGTTTTTTTCACATTCCTACTGATGCATTATAATGTTTGATCCTTATTTACAATATGAAGAAGAGTTCAAACTTTTCGTAAAAAACCATATTGTTCAATGTGAAAGTCTTGTTTATTTATTTATTTAAACACATAAACACTGGTACAAGGAGGAACCAAATAGATGTGCGTCATATGAATCATTCGATTTGTGTGAGGGCTGGGATACTGTCTGAGTGTACAAACCGAAGCAGGTGGTTTTCTTTGGGGGGCCATACCCGGAGCCTTTGACCTACAGGTCTGATCCACAAGGCTGTGGATCAATGTGAGGAGATGTATTCCCATGGTAGCCGGTGACCAACGACTGGTTCATACTCCCTTTGTTACCTCGAGATCCTGGAACCCATGTACACCATTGGTTTTGAATTAGGGTTTCCCAACTCCCCTAGATGGATTCTCCATATCCACTAACCCGGTTAAAGCGCCGGACATTCGCTTTTCGTCCTCCCAATTTCGTAAACGACAGTAAGGTTGCAAGAAGGCAATGAGTGGGACTTCCCCGGCAGTGGCCATGTGAGAGCAGTTGGATAGGGAGAGCTGAAATCTCCCCACCCTCAGCCGTACCAAGGCATTTGGGTGCAATATCAAAGTCTACAAAATTTCAATGTGCATACCATTAATCAAGTATATTGATTGGTATACTCCATTTTAAGTTACAAGTCTTGCCGTAAGGACTAGTACTAATACCAACTAAACGTAATAAACCATGGGTAAGTGAAGTAAGTTTAGAATATGCAACTAACTGATTAAATAACAAATGTTTTCACCTCAAAATTATAACTCTTTACAATTCTTACTGTACAAAAGACTTCGTCATGTGTTTTTCTTTTACTTGAAATGATTTAACTCAACTTAAGATACTAGTCCATAAGACAAAGAAATTGTTCTTGAATTAGTTAGATTGTTTATTTGACAAATATTAAACAACTAAAAATACGCTTTACTTTAAAGACTTATTTATTTATTTGAACACATAAATATTGGTACAAGAGGGTACTAAATATATATGCGCCACACAAAACAATGAGAATTTAAAGAGAAGGAAAAAGAAAAAAGGTAAGGAGCGTGAAGAAAGAGAACGATGACGAAGAGATTAGTGTAAGGTAGTGTAATAATAATGATAGTAATAATGGGGGAACGGAAAGGTACAACCAGAAGAAATCTTTCAGTTAGGGAAGGAACAACCATTTTTTATGAAGAAAGTAAGAGAATGTTACAGCAGGATCATCACTGGCTTCTATTCTGAGCCATATCTGATAACGTCTCTAGCCACTGTGTTGCACCATCTCTCGGACCCCAACCAGAAAGTCGTGAAGGAGCAACAGAAGCCAGCCCTTTGCAGCTTTCTTTCGTGCCACGACACCATGTCATGCACTGACTGCCTCTCCGCCCCCGAAAGCCCTGGTATGGCCGAGAGTGGGATGGGCCCTCCCTCCCTCTCGAAATGCTCTCACACGGCCATGCGTATACAACCTGTGCCAAGGAAGTCCTACTCACTGCCTTCTCGTGGCGGGGGTGTTATTTACAAAAATGAGAGGACGAAAAGTGAATGTCCGGCACTTTAACCGGATCCCAAACCAATGGTGCACATGGGCTCCAGTATCTTGAAGGAACAAATGGAGTATGAACCAATCGTTGGTCACCGGCTACCATAGGACTGCATCTCATCACGATGGTCTACAGCCTTGTGGATCAGACCTTCAGGTCAAAGGCTCTGGGTGTGGCCCCCTAAGAAAACCACCTGCTTCTGTCTGAATACGCGGGCAGTATCACAGCCCATACACAGATATATATATTTTGAAGACTAGAAATTATTGAACTGAATTCACTAGCCTACTGAACTGCAATGTTTACAATAAGGTCAAAATTTCAGTTAAGCATAATGAAATATCTATCCTCATCAAGGTTGGTCAGGTTAATTTGAAATTAGTTTTATTTTGTATAGCTTCGTTTATTTTCAATACGAGTAATATGTTACAATCAACTATGAAAGATGATTTCATATGTAATTTTACAACAACCTAATTATTCGTAATACTGAAAATAATAATGAAAATTGTATCGTATATCTAATAAAACTCACAAATTACCAAACATTTGATTACAAACAATAGTCTTTGGAAGTTATAGTCACTTGAGTTGTCTGTTATTCTATGAATACAGCCCTATGAATTAAACAAGCCATGAATTGCTTTCATCCATATAGTTTTTTTAATATTTGAAAACTCATTCTTTTGTCTATTCGATTCCCATATGAAATTCAATGTTTTTAAATTATTGTCTCTATGAAAGCTCATAACAATAAAGATATTTAAGAACTTTCGTCTAAATTTGATCGAATGGTTTCACAGTATTTGGGCTCCGAGTTGATGTGGGATATTAAAGAGGGAGAATGTATTTGTAAAATCTAAGCGAAAGAATTTGAAGTAAATCCAACGTTTCGCCTGGCAATCTGGTCCTTGAAAAAGTTTCTAATAACCATTCACAGACTGACCTTATTACCTCACTTGAGAGCTACTAGATAGCTAGGCTAATGTGTTGCGGACTCAATCTAGTTTAACTCAGTTGATTTGTGTTCAGTCATAGTAAGCTGTAACTGACTAATGAATATGGATAGACATTTGTGCGTATTCCCGTATATATTTTCATAAACTTGTTAATTATCGTTGTAGTATATGTTTTAGTATGGCCGATAACGTGTCCTCGATCCGAATCAGTTTAACATATTAGAGATAAAACACTGTGCTGGGTGTATAGCTAGTGAGTGTGATACAATACATGTAACAGAATCGTTCCCATCGTTCAACCTAGGAAACAAGCCTCTCATTAGTAGCACTTCCGAAGAGCATCAAATTGGGCTGAAACAGTGTTCTTGATTTATTATGGCTTTTCAGCTGAAAGTCATCATCGATAAAAGTTATCACTTATTATAAACCTAAATTGTTTCTCAGGAATAGGATTATTGAAAAGTTGCGTTTCTATTTGAAAGTACTTTTATGTTAATTATTCCTGGTTTTTATTCAAGGCAAATTTATTATTACCAATAATACTGAAGCATTTAGCAAACATTCCGAATGCCTTTGTTCAATGTTCGTAAAATTGGATAAAATATTTAAGGTAAGCTTCTTCTGTTTTATTTTGTTAATAATGTGTTGTTGAAATAGATGGTTTGTAGATATAAAACTCTACTAGCTGGACATCTACGGCGAAGTTGGCGTGTGCTCATTACTGTGGAGTATTAAACTAGGCTAAAAGAGTTATCTGTTCATCAGTTTCTGTATGGATACTTTCTTTCATGCTTCATTTTAATTATAATGGCACTTTTTGTTATCGATTGCTATCAGTTCAGTGGAAAAACACTAGTGAGACCTACTACACTTTTGACATCAAAAATTCCTGTCTACATTACCCTACCATTCAGAAGTTAGTCAAATGGCCTTGTGCTGAAACAAAGGCTTAATTCAGTTGTAAGTAAATGTATTGTGTAACATTAAGTCACGTAACATCATAAATTTAATTTATCTGCTCAAAGATAATTCTTGTTAGAAAAACAAGGTTCATGCTTCAGCGAAGACCTAAATGGCATGTAAATGATTGCGTCACATCCCACTCCGTTTATCGGTTCCTATTTGTTTGTCTGTGGCCGCACATACATAAGGGGGATTAATCGTGATCCGTAAGTTAGAGGGCCTGAACACATGCCAAAGTGGTTTCAGAAACAAATAATCAGTTAATCCAATAAGAGCAGATAATAAACATTCATCTTCCTCTATTGTTGAACACAGTAGAAATAAGTCATAAGGTTTATCATAACTCAGTCTTTTTGATTTTGTACAAAATTGTTCAGGGCATTTACTAAGGTTTATTGAAGCCTTGGTCATATGAAAAGTCAAAAACTACTTATGCATTCAAAAATAGTTTGTTCTCACCCTGAACCTACCTTGATATTATAGTTTTATTATTCAGCCTGGTGCTTCACATTGTTTTCAACCTTATTTTCTCTATTAACCATGTTTCCTCTTATCTTCTATTCGTCTAGTTGACCTTTAATTTTTAATATATAAATGTTCTTAACAAGTTTATATGTGATCAGATATTTCTGATAACATCATGTCTTAGTCCATTATTCTAACTAGATAATTGGTTGAGATTTCTCAGCAGTTCTTTGTGTAAATACTCTGTGGGTTTTCGTTTACGCGATTATCATACAATGAATTGTTTTCGGCTTGGTTAAATTTGACATGTCTCCATGTTAGAACGTTAAGAAACTTACCTTCAAAGTGGACCAACATTACTCAGTGAAATATAGACATTGTTATCCATTTATGTATATATGGTAGACCAATTAGGCCTTAAAGATAGATTTTAGTGTGACCTGTTTATCTCAATTTGAAATCATTTGAATGATAACGTTCTTGATATTTTTGACTGAAATTTGGTCAGTGTGGGCTGTACGGATTGTCACATTTTTATGAAGTAAAAGAAAATTACAATACGATCGCCATCAATACCAATTATTATCACTGTCCCCGGACATACTTTACCGAATCTCTGCACTACTAACATGATCTTGAAATCGAACGTCAGCAATCTTTCGGAGATAACGATGATTAACTACAGAGAGTTTCCGAACATTCTCAACTTGGAGAGAATATGTTTCACAAGCATAGACCAAAACCTTTCTCGTCAAGGCATTGTTAACCCGATCTTTCTCAAAAAAACTAATACCACGTTAGCGCCAAAGGTAACAAATTTCTTTCAACACCTCCGATCTTCACCATACATAAAGTGATCTTGCCACTCACGCCACCATAAATGCTCACACTTCCGGCTACTTCTAATGGCTCATCATCAAGAGTGAGCTCAGGCACAAGGTCTTGCTAGTCATGTATATGTATTTTTTTAGGAGGTGCTAAGTACATGCCATACTTACTGGCATTGATTGTTAGCTGATTAAGTGTGAATTAGACAAATTGAGTATAATTATACAGTAAAACAATATTTGCATACTCAAGGTTAAAAAGGCTTCCTCCAGCGAGCTGGTCCACACAACCCTCACCTACTTTTATCAGGAGCCTTTCTAGAATGTCTTCGTGGTTAAAAGTTGCAGATGAATGGTGGAATTTGACAACCCTGTTTAACCTCATCACTTGAATGGAGAAATAAGGAGAGGCGATTATATGCCGTCACTCTACCTGAGGTATTTGTATATAGGACCTTCAAAAAATTAGTAGATTTCTCAGACACACTCTTCTTCAAAAGATAATCTCAAAGAAGTGGCTTAATCTTGACTTTTAATCCTTGCGTTAGAGGCCGAAATCCCATTTTCGTTAGCTGTTCAACGAAATATGTACTCGATTCACGTCAGTTTTCTGACATCGAAAAGCATAATTTCCACTTTTCGAAGTAATATATATATAGTTATGTAAGGATCACTTATCCTTACAAAGATAGGCCATATCATTAAAAAAAAGTTAAAAACTGGAGTTAAAATCTCATGAACCAACAACATGTAAACATCACACATAAGGTGCGTGTCGTAAATCAATAATCTGGAAGCTAACACTACGAGCTCTGTTCTCGAATGGTGGCTCAACGGTTTCTAGGTGTCCTACTTTCAGCCACTAAATCTTAGATTTAGTTGGATCAGCGGGATAGTATCACTAGCTCGAGTACCTAGAGTGTGGCTTGAAACCAGGTAAATGGGTATTTAACACCGTGAGAGCATGTTTTCCAAATACTAGCCCTCTATCCAAACTAAAATGGGTAGAACTTAGAACTCAATAACTGCAAACCAATTTTTTCTTCGTGTATTGGCAATTTAATTCTTCCCACTGACGTGTAGAACTGAAATTGATCAGTTTATCATTTGCATATATACATCCCGTGCTGATTGCCTCGATATTGCCTTAAGTCACAAGCATTATAAGCAGATGTATGATGACTAGAAGTGAAATCCAGGACTCGTGTTTCCTCCTATTCAGGACTCATCGGTCGGATGTATCTGCATACCAGGATTCGAATCTAGTACCGTGCGCTTCCAGCGTCATCGAGTTATCCACCTGTCTACTGAGTCTGTATAACCACTATCTGCAGGTACATCCAGTTATCAAGTCCTAAATAGGACAAAACTCACGTCCTGGATTCCACTATTAGCCATTTATTATCTCCGCCTATAATCAGAATTATGTATTCAACTATTACAAGATTAATAATCAATTTCATATATTCCATAATCTAATACAAAAGAATTCTATATGAGATTAAATGTGATACATTTTGAACATATAAAATTAATTTTTTTAATATTTAAATCTCCAGCCTCGTTGTATTATGAACGGTTAAGTATATAACTTAATTTTTTTTTAAATTTTTTGAATGAAAACACAATAAGAAAGTAACCATGTATGTTTGATAAAATTACATAACTAACTGATCAATTCAATAATTATTTTGTCAACTACTATTTAATTATACATTCTGTCATACAACAATGCAATGTTGTGTTTTGTATGGTTTATATTAGAATTGTGTATAATAATAATAACATTTCATTTGTTCAGCGAATAGGTGTTGTAAGAGTCCATTACCATGACCTTCGTATTTATATTTTTTTTCAAAAAAAAATAATACTCGGTAACTAATTTTTATCAAACTATTCGTTCTAATATTAATAAGTATTCGTATAAAAAAATATTTAGTAGAACTATCCGTAGATTAGTACTTTAATGACTAAAATATCAGTCTTAAAATGTTGAACGAACTGATATAATACTAGTGGAATAACTAAAATTCTCACTTCTACAAGGAAAGTTGACAATTAAACTGTTTAGTTTTGAGGATATACAACACCGTTTTCAAAAGATATTAAAGTTTACCTATAATCTTTGTAAACTTAGTTTAGAGCGGAAAAATTTACGAGGTCTAAATAAAGGTTGCGAAATTTAATGGACACAACTCACAACTTGAGTCATCAAATAGGAGCTTAATTTAAACATTTACTGTGACAATTGGGCCTTTTGTAAAGGATCAGAAGTAAAATGCCGCTTAATGGTCTGTGAATTAGATAAAGTATCAGTTAACAACTCCAGATATATTTGAGTCTTATGGAGAGTATTTGGAAATTCAATTTCTCCGACGTAGTGCATCAGTGATATTACCCCTAATACTGTACCCTTTGTAGGCTACAATCAATGTCGCTCAATCCAACAAATTTAAGATTCAGAAGATACTCTTATTATGATCAATCCCCATTCGCGTTCAAAGATAAAAGTTAGATTATTACAGGGGAGGTGACAATATTGTTTATAATTATACTCATTTAACGTTACCTATCTGCGTAAGTTTTTAGTAACTTGTTTTTTTACCTTACTCAACTGACCAAAAAGATATTTTCCACTCATTCCCATATGGGTGTGATCAGATTATAGTTTTCTGTTGTCTTGTAACACTATTATTATTATTATTATTATTATTATTATTATTTTATTATCGTATTCCTGTAATGAATATTGTCATCAATGTTTTATCAGTCCCAATAGTTATCAGTTCTAAGTAAAATTTGATCAAGTTTGATTGGTAATTGTTATTCCCACTATGATTAAATAATTTGTACATAATTCATTACGTATGTTTCGTTTCCTCACTCACTTGTAATAATTAGTGCTTTGTTTTCATCTTCTGAATTCATTATTCATTTGTTGTTTTTGTGTGCGTTTTAATATCCTTATGAATCAAATAACTTTGCTTCATTTAGCTGAAAAGATTTTGTTAGGTTACTGGTTTAATTTGTAGGCTTTTTTCATCACAGACTAATCCTAGTGTTCGTTCAGTGCTATCGGAAATTAGTAATCGACACTTATAGATTATGAAAACCATTGAATTTCTTTACCCTTGAAGTTCTGGTTTACAATTCGTAGTAGATGTTACATAATATCAAGAAAATTGAATGACTGTCGCACTATGATGGCTTAAATAAGAAATTCTATCATTAAAGTGCCTAGTTAACGTGTTTTCCCAAGTTAACGATTAGCTTGTGTTGATTAGTGTATAATTATCATAATAATATTTTAGTTAATACTTTTATTACTTTGAAACTAGACACATTTCTTTTAAGT